ATAAAATAAAATATATGTATATATATATATATATATATATATATATAATGTGCATAAGCTAATTTAAACTTTTGGAGAATTTTTTTTTCTTCTATAAGTATTTATGGTGAAATTTATTTAAACAATTCCTAAATATAACCTTATTGATTCTACCAAAGCTCATGTTTGAACGTTGAACTCGTTCATGAATAACTGTGGTAAAACAAACTATGTTATCTGTAAATGAAACTGAAATCCGTTTTTTCATATTACTCGTTCATTTTTTCGGTTTGATTTTTTTTCAATTTTGTTAGATTGAATTGGTTAGTGAATACCTGAACTTTCCCTCTGCGTTTCCTCTTTAAACCAATCTGTGTAGATTGTCTTGATTTAGCGTGGACATGATTTAGAATTTTAGATATAGTAAATCTTTAATGCTTCACATGGTGAAAACTTGTACCCATGTGGTGATTGTTAGTAGAAGAGAATGACAGCATGACGGGAACAATGCAGTGAGCTGCTCTTGTTCCACAACAATCTGTGTAGACTGTCTTTCTCATAATCGATGTTAAAAAATGGTGAGCCCATGACAATTTTCTTTTTATTGCTGATTATTACACATTAATGTTGGCAGGTTATCATGATGGGACAACTTCCAGATTCTCCTTGCAACCACAGAATCCTAATCTTAATTCTTCCATTCAGTTTGATGATAATGCGTTTCCACTACAACACCAATTGATGAGTGTTTCACACCATGCCCAATTTTCAAGAAATGAAAATGGGTTGACTCTTGGTCCTCCACAACCATCCACGCATGGCTTCGAGACTGCCAGCAATTCAAATCCTACTTATGGAGGAGTTGAAGAGTACTTCCCAGAAGAGGAAATTCGTTTTAGAAGTCATGAGATGCTAGAAAATGAAGATATGCAGAATCTACTCCGTATTTTTAACATGGGAGGTCAACCACATGCTTCCTTTAATGCCCACGAAGATGGGTACCCCAGTTCATCTACATACATTTCTACAAACCCCATGGGCTACAATTTTGATGATGAACCAAACCGTTCCTCAGGCAAAGCTGTTGTGGGCTGGTTAAAGCTGAAGGCAGCTTTAAGATGGGGTATTTTTATTCGGAAGCAGGCTGCTGAAAGACGGGCACAACTGGTTGAATTGGATGACCCCTAGAGATCTTGGGGCCATTACTGATCTGCACTGATCTGAACAATATTTTTTCTGGTTATAGCACCCATGGTTTCATTTCTGACTTTAAAATTTGTTATCATGCTGAAATTTGGCATGGGCAAGGGATATGAAATCTGAGTTGAATTATTTGGTGCAGCCGTGCAGGCTTAAATATTCTGCTGTGCCTTGATCCATAAACAGTTGTACATAGACCTCTGCCTGTAGAAGAATATCACTTTGCAACATCTCTGCTATAACTGCTTTGCTTGTGATGTTTTCACTAAGCATTCCCGAATCCAAGTTGTAAAGGCTCGAAGATTTGCCTGTTTTTAAACTGAAGAGTCTATTGCTTCTTAAACTTGGCAAGCTCTAAGTGGAATCTCAAGAATCTAGGATCTTTACTACATTCACCGGGAAGTATTCAATTATGTATAGTAATCTAACTTAATTGTTATATTTTGTAGTTGCTCTGTGACATTATAGTTATAATCAATTTGAATTGCTGTGCTTTGAATACTTCTGCTTGTTGTCCGTGTACTTTATGATTGTTTCCGCAGCTGGATAACTCTACATAATGACTTGGCCCGAGACTATCAAATATCAATTGAAAAATATGCTAGATTTGACTACCTGAATGTATTTGTGAATAAATTGTAATAATTTTATATGGGCATTGTTCAAAGAGAGAAATCGAGGCATAAGATGCTGAGATTGTCTAAACTACACAATGGAGAGCGATTTATATAGGCTGACTGTAATAATTACAATTAAATATAGGACGTTTTGTTCCAATTAACATGATATGATATGGCTATAAAATAAACCTATACATTAATTACAAAGATAACTATCAAATTTTCAACACTTCTCCTTAATTTGGAGTATATGATTTATATGCACCAAACTTGTTATATATATATATATATATATGAGGATTTATTTTTTTTACTCTAGGAGTAAGTCTACATAGACTTGTTCTGTTCAGTAACTCATGTTCTATATCAAATTTCAACAATCCAACCGTCCAATTTAAAGTTCTTAATGCATAAATTAAATTTACAAATTTTTAGAAAATTTGAAAATTATTTGATATTTCATTTCATTAATTCAAATTGACGGATAATCATAAAATCATTTTATACATTGATTCGAATTAATGAAACGAAGTATCAAATGATTTTCAAATTTTTTTAAAATTTGCAGATTTGATCTATGTATTAAGAACTTTAAATTGAACGGTTGAATCGTTAAAATTTAATATAGAACATGAGTTATTGAACGGAGTAAGTCTACGTAAACTTATTCCTGAAGTAAATAGATCCCTCCTCTCTCTCTCTCTCTCTCTGTCTTATATATATATATATATATAATTGATTTGAGGATTTCTTAAGGATTTGACAGGCATTTGTTAATTGAGCATTCGAGTTGACAAAGTTTATGGTGATATTTCTTTATTTGATTTTTTCTCCAACAAAATGACACTATCTTAGTATGTTTAGCCCCTTCTAAAAATCAGGTTAGGAGTTTTTTAGTGGGTCAAACCTAAGAATGATGGATTAAGAGAAATAGAGGACTATAGAGAGAGGCTTAGGAGGCAAGTGTTTTATCCCAAATTAAAGGATAAACTCAGAGAATGTAATACTGAAAAGTATAAGAAAAATAGTAATAACCTTTTTAAGATTGATGATACCCAAGGAAGACACGATTGATCGAGCCAACAATTCATCAAGACTTGAAGAGAGGTTGTGGACAAACCATGTGGATCTGAAGACATCTGAAGACAAGGTGTGGCATTGGATGAAGAGGTGTATAGAGAAACAACATTGAGTTAGAAACTTGATCATCACGGATAGAAGATGACACAAGATTGATAAGATAACATGGTGAAAAAATAACACCCTTAAAACCAAGATAGAACATTTCCATGGAGACAAGAAAGGTTCACGTGGTGTTAATGAAATATCAATTTTTGCATTCAATAACTGTTTTGTTGAGGTGTTTGAGCATCAAATGTTTGATGTAAAAAGCCTTTAGATGCCATAAAGGTTTGAAATTGAGACAAGTACTACTAGGAAAAGAATGAATAAGAAAACCAAATTGCATTTTAGTTTCTTAATAAAATTGCTCAAAAATAGTGAACAATTTTATCCTATTCTTTATTAAAAATAATCACATTCAATAAGAGAAATTATCAATAAAATTAACAAAATATTTAGATCCATAAGTAGTATGTGGGAAAGATACAAATATCACAATGAACTAAAGAGATAGAAAAAAAATAAGAAGTTTGTTTATTGATGAGATTAGAAAATTAACTACGAGTATGTTTTGAGATGTCAAATGAGTCAACTTGAGCCAAATATGGTTCTCCTTAAGACAATTTTTTATGCACAACCCAACTTGACCTATCTAGCCATTGAGTTGACTTGCCTAGCCGACCATTTTTTATAGGTCTAAGTATTCTTTTTAAGTTGACATGACTTACAATGCAAACTTGATGACTTAAGAAAGGCTATGAGACACACATTCAACGCCAGTTATCTGTCCCCAACTTCAGTCTTGCATTATAACATTGTGTTTTGTAAAAGGAATCAAATAATCATGAGACTAGGTTAAATGATTATCAAAGAGAAAATTAAATGGGAAGTTAGGGACATAAAGGAAAAAGTCAATTGGTAAGGAAGAAAATAGTTGGTCAATACCAATTACTTAGGATTGGGTTTAGGAGACCGATTAAAGTGGCACAAGCTAAATAATCAAATGTTAAGAGAGGGAAAAATAGTTTTATTACCAAAGATATGATTATACACACCATAGTCAAGAACTTAGGGACCAACGGAATGAGACTAAGATGTAAGAAATTCATTTACTAGTGTGTGTAATTGAATAGGTAGCGAGAGTTGCTCGAGGGTGATCATTAGGACAAAGTGTGTCTATTGGAGTCATTTGGGCAACATTTATAGGGCGTGGAGGTAGGCTATGCAATTTCTAGCAACATTCAATCATATGACTCAGAGGATGGAAACAACCACATTGTTGATCAAGATCAAGTTGAATCCCAAGATTTTTGATGATTATAGATGTACATAAATGTGTATATAACGAGTTTCTTTGAAAGAGCAATTTGTGTTGGTTGTTTTGATTTATGCATGTTAAGCTATCTTATAATCTTTGTATAAGTTGATGTTTAATGATTAAGAATGACATGAATAAGATTTAAAATTGATTTGAAGTGAAACATTCAAAGTATTGAGTTTTTTTTTATCTAAAATAATCGATTATTTTCTCCTATTTTTAACATGTTTGAAACAATTTCGAAAATAATCGATTATCTAACAAAATAATTGATTATTTCAAAATTGGGTTAAAAAATAATTGATTATTCACCAAAATAATCAATTAAGTTATTCAAGGTAGGTTTAAAGATCCACAAAGAACAAAATAATTAATTATCCCTTAAAATAATTAATTATTTCATGTAGAAAATCTATATGACGAATTTAACTTTAGAATCCAAGTGTAACTCATTTTTTACACTTTTAAGCATTTAAGTTCGATATTGAGTTGTGAATTCGATCACAAGAAACTGAATTTCATTGGTTGGGGGGTCTTCTATCATGCATCAAGAAAACATAAGTCATCATCAATATACATGAATATTGTAGATTTTGTGGTTGAACTTTTTCAACTTGTTTGTTTGATTTTGTATATCAGGTGATGCCCTTCCTTTATCTTTTTTAGTTTCTTGAGTAGGTTTCTGATGACATCATGCCTAGAGGCCAAATCCAAAAGGAATCAAGAAGAGTTGGATTAGCTTAAAGAAAGAAAGCTGAGCTCTTATTAAGATTTGAGCAATTTTAGTAACTTACTTTCTTTTCTTTGTGTATATTTTTCTAGTAAATATTTCTCTTATTTTGGCCTTGTATTTTGGGTAAAGTAGTGTAGATAATTTTTTCCTTGTATTGTTTTTATTTGAGGGTGTAATTAGTAGATTAAGAGAGGTGTAACTAGTCAAGTCTTATTAAACTTATTTGGTCTTGGATGGCCCAAACTTCTTTAGGCCCATTTGTATTGGACATCCACTTGCTTATGCAAGTGGTTTGGATGTCCAAAACAAGTTAAACTTGTCATCCAAGGTACAAATTAAGTCACATGACTTTGATAATAACATGTCAATAACTTATTAAATGTAATCATTAATTTAGTAGTTGTAATGATTAAGCTAGATAGTTGGAGTTACTTAAGCCAACTTAGGTTATTCTTAAGTTAGGATTAGTTTAACTTGATCCATAAGCTTCTAGACAATTAACTAGACTTCTAGACATTTAACTAGAGTGATTAGCTTAAGTACAAAATAGCTAACCATGGTTAGTCTAACTTGCACCATAAGCCAACCAAACTATGTATGTACTTTCTCCTTGTATATGGTTGATTACTTTTAGATGTATATGAGAAAAAACCTTTGAATTTCTCTTTTAAAAGTCTTAGTTATCCTCCTTGAAGAAATCTTTCCTTATGATTTTTTATCAAGGAAATTCCTCCTTATGACAAGATCAACACCTCTTGCTTATCTTCTACCTTAGAAGTGGCACAACCTCATCCCTTGTCTCCATCATCATTTTTGGTTTCTAAGGCTTGTTTCATCTATGGAAGAAGATTGGGAACAACTAGAAGACTAGTGGAGGGAATCACCAACCATTTCTCCAATGATTTTCATCATATTTGGGTATCATGAGCTTTGGTTCTTCCATAGAGAGGTTTTCTCTAAATTTTTATTTTATTGTGTTGTCTTCTTATATGTTTAGTAGTCATTGTTGCTTAGATCTAAATTTTTGCACATTATATGATAGATCTAACATGTCTTGAAATTGTTGGTTCAAATGCATGTTAGTATGTTTCTATGAACCAATTTTATATGTTGTACCTTAGGATTCTTGTTATATAAACTTTCCTTTATTTTTGATGACCAATATGTTGTTTGATTCACCTATATGATTTGCATGAAATAGTGTGTGTTAGAGTCATTTTTTGTTTGAAATCTATATAATGCTTATGTGTTAGAAGTCATGTTTAGTCTTTGCTTTGTCATTACTTCTGGTAGTCCTTTTAATTTTTGAATCTTGAAAATATGTGTTAGATGTTGCTGGCCGAACTGTATGGGTCCTTTTTTATATATATAATCTTTGAGTTCATATATGTTATTAGATCATTGACGTGTTCCGAGTAGAATTAGGTTTCCATTGTCTAGAAGTTTTCATTGTTTTCTTATTTCCTTGATTTCTTTCTATTCAAATTGATTGCAAATTTTAGTAAGCAATATAAATTCTTTGGGGTTGCAACAAAATCACATTTGAACCATCTCTTAGATTTTCAAAATGTTTTGAAATCAAAGGCGTAAAGCTTGTTTCATCCATGTAAGAAGGTTGGGCACAACTAAAAGACTAGTAGAGGGAATCACCAACCATTTGTCCAATGGTTTTCATCATATTGAGGTGGTTGGTGATTCCCTCCACTAGTTTTCTCGTTGTGCCCAATCTTCTTCCATAGATGAAACAAGTTTTAGAAATAAAAAATAATGATGGAGACAAGGGATGAGATTGTGTCACTTCTAAGGTAAGATAAGCAAGAGGTGTTGATCTTGTCACAAGGAGGAATTTTCTTGATAAAAGATCTTAAGGAGAGATTTCTTTAAGGAAGAGAATTAAGATTTTTAGAAGAGATACTTAGGTTTATTTTCATATGTAACAGCCCAGCAACCCGCATGTGGATATTGTCCGCTTTGGCCGCAGCCCTCACGGTTTTGCTTCTGGCAATGGCACGCATGCCACCCCAAAACGCGTCCACATAAGGAAGGTATCCACACCCATATATATGGCATGCTTCGTTCTCCTTCCTAACCGATGTGGGACTTCACAATCCACCCCCCTCAAGGGAGTCCAGCGCCCTCGCTGGCACACCGGCCCGGGTCCCGGCTCTGATACCAAATGTAACAGCCCAGCAACCCGCATGTGGATATTGTCCGCTTTGGCCGCAGCCCTCACGGTTTTGCTTCTGGCAATGGCACGCATGCCACCCCAAAACGCGTCCACATAAGGAAGGTATCCACACCCATATATATGGCATGCTTCGTTCTCCTTCCTAACCGATGTGGGACTTCACATCATACACATCCAAGAGTGATAAGCCACATACAAGGAAAAATTATATATAAAATTTGATTGACTTATGGTGCAAGTTAGATTAATCATGGTTAAATGTAACAAAAGTAAGTTATTTTGTACTTAAGTTAACCAACTCTAGTTAAATGTCTAGAAGTCTAGTTAATTATCTAGAAGTCTAGTTAATTGTCTAGAATCTTATAGTGCAAGCTAAGCTAATCCTATTTTAAGAATAATCTAGGTTAATTTAAGTTAACTCCAATTATCTAGCTTAATCATTATAACTACTAAACTAATGATTACATTTAACAAGTTGTTGAGATGTCACTATCAAAGCCATGTGACTTAATTTTAACTTGGATGACAAGCTTGGCTTATTTTGGATATTCAAACCACTTGCATAAGCAAGTGGATGTCCAATCCAATTGGGTCAAAAGAAGTTTGGGTCACCCAAGGCCAAAAGATGTTAAATGTTTGGCTCTTATTTAAGTCAATTTTGTAGTCAAAGAGGTCCACGAGGGATATGTAAGAGTCATATAGGAGGAATAACATTTTCACATAAAGTCATCTGAGTTGATTATTTTTGGTCCACCCTTCAAGCTGACTACTTGGAGTTTGTTCAGAAATGTGACAAGTGCTAACGACATGTAATTCTACACAACGTTATGCCCGAGCAGTTGCATTCCTTCTTGTCACCTTGGCCCTTTCATAAATGGGTGATCAATATTCTTAGTCCATTTCCTATTAGACACTGTTAGATGAAGTTTTTGGTGGTGGCGATCAATTACTTCAATAAGTGAATTGAGACAAAATCTTTGGGGTCTCTAGTTACTAAGAAGGTACATTTTTTCTGTGAAAATCGGTAGTGTGTCAAAAATAGACATCAACCACAACTAATTGTATCAACTTATAATATCAAATAATATTAAAGTTATTACATAAAATATTGACAAATAATATCAAATTGATACTAATTATCATAATTCACAATTAATATGTACAAAATTAGCCAATAACATAAATATATAACCATATAAATTAACATTTGAAAATCTAAAAAATAAAAAGCATATTAAATGGATCAACCCATGAACTAACATAGTTCATCACAGATTAGTTCATGATGAATTAGGTCAAATTTTCTTTATAATTAAAATAAATCAATTTTTTTAATCCAATCCAACTCAAATTCATAGAAAATCGGATTAGCTCACAGACTTTGACTTAAATGCTAAAAATATGTCCAACTCTAAACTACACGATGGAGAGCAATTTATATGTGCCAGATGTAATAATTACAATTAAATATTGAATATTTCGTTCCTATGATAAGATATGCCGATAAATTAATTACAAAGATTCTTATCAAATTTCCCACAAAGTTGATAGATTGAGTTTCACTTCAAAAAAAATAAATTAAATTGACTAATTAAAGTATAACAGTTTTCATATATCACAATTTGTAATTTGAACTGTACTTTTTTTTTCTAAAACGTGAATGCGTTACAATTAAAGTCTAATACGTTTTCAGCTCATGAGCAGAACGATCTCAGGTTACTTGTGACAGCTAGGTCAGTTCAAGATTGTCATTATTTAGAACTATTAACAATATCAAAATATGGAATTATTGCGGGGCTATGTTCGGTGCGGAAAAGTGGAATTTCAAAATTGTGAATGAGTACATTCTAACTAAATATACGCAATTGAACTTGATAGGAAACCAATAAAGACATTTTACTCCGAGATCATTTTTATCTAGCTATTTTGACAGATACCAAAATATGTAAAATAAAATAAGAGATGTAATAATGAGGGAAAAGAAAAATTGCAAGTGTTGTGAAAAGATTATGTAAGAATAATATAACTATTACCTATCAAGAAATTGTCCGATTATCACACTACGGGTAAACTAGTAGAATATTTGTCGTATTTAAGTCCTACCAATTTTTGTCGTACCATTATCACCGTATCAGGAAAAAGTTCGTCTATGGATAATGAAAGAAAGTCGAGTAATTCTTCACTCACGAAGCCAGTGCGCTTGATTCTTTTCTCTGTTCCATCTTTTTTTTTTTTTTTTTTTTGCTTTTTTGGGCAGAACTGTTTACTTTTATCTTGAGAAAAATAATTAATTTAATTACATGTTTTCAAATGAACATTCTACAACGTTTTTGGTAGATACATTCTACAACAATTTGTTCAAGGACCATTAACAAATGGAAAATAATTACAACCCCCACCCCCCTCCTCTTTCAGAAAAGCAAAAAATGGTAAGGGGAAAAATAAGGAATTATTCAGCATCAGAGACCTCATCTTCATCTTCCTCCAAAATGTAGACCAGAGCACGCTTTCTTGCAGCAAAGACACAAGCCACACCTCTTGATGCTGTTATCAACATATAAGGGTACAATGCATCAGTAACCAGATAAATGGCTTATACTCAGATTAACACAATAACCCGATCAGAGATATCTTTGAAAGTGGGGGAAAACATTCAAAACGATTACCGTTATCTGGTTCAGAAGTCTCAATTCAAAAGGCATTTAATTTGAAGAACCGTTCGGTTGAGATATAAGATGTAGATCCAATTTATATCCAATGACCAATTTTATTACCTCAACTTTTGTACATCTAAATATTGACAGATGTTAAGGAACTACCAATTAGACAAAACCATTTTTCAGGAATTTGATTAACTTTATCTTAAACGGAAACGTGTTTCACTATTTTCCTAAATTGGAACTCGGGTCCACAATATGCATACATGCTTCTATGCGCCCATCTTTTCCTTTTTATTCCTATACATTAGTAGCTGTATGAGAGAGATCAACATACTCTACACAATGAAATTAGTTGATAAACCAAATACATTGCATGTATTAAACTCAGGTGCAGATATTCTACGGTTAAGCAGAATCAGATTATAATTATGATTAAAATTGTACGAGATCCATTAACTTGATATTTCCAAGGAACTTCTGCTAGGCACATTGTTCATATACAAGTTTTAATGCATTTAAGCCAAAGGTACAGAGAGAGAGAGAGAGAGAGAGTACTCACCACTAACTGCCAAGGGAGCAACTACAGAATGAGGGATGGTGCGAGCTTTCTCATCCCCGATTTGCAGATAAGTGACAGAATCCTAGATAAACATAATTACAAAAATATGACTATAATGGAATATAAAATTATAAAAAGCTTCCTAAAGGAGATACCTAAGTAATTTTCTATAGAAGACATGTACCAAGGTTGAGCTTCAAGGGAGATATTCAGTCAGGATAACAAAAAATTAAAGGGAAAAAGACGAGACAACAGATATTCACTCAGCATAAGATATACAGGAATATTCTTAGTGAAGCTGAACTTTAAATGTTAGCACCACACCCTTAATACATTTTATACTATTGGTTGAACTTTATAGAAAATTTCAAATTTTGTTGTATCCCACTTCTTGTTTAATGATTTTCTCTCTTGATTTTGTAATTTTCAATAATTTTTAGTTTATAATAAAGTATGTTGGAAAGTGTATTGCTAGCACTTCTCTTTTAGAAAAACATCGGTTACATAGATCACTAATTTATGCCTTCAACAATAAAAACAATGGACATATGATGATTTACCTTTAGTTCTGGTAACTTCCATACATCTTTATAAGCAGATCTTGATATGGAGACATATGGTAGATCACTTGCTTGCAAAATCATCATACAACCATCTCCAGCACTGTCTGACGTATTAGTAGCTTTGTTTAGTAACAAGACAATTTGACTATCCTGTTTCAAACAACATATTTAAAAAATAAAAATAAAAATTAAATCTTAAGATTTGCTAAACGTTAAAATTGAGACTGTAAAGGCTGTTTGAATTACTTCTTTCTCTAATGTTACCTTGTACAAAGACAGATCCACACATTGATAATCAACAGGAACACGTAACAGCACAGCTTCCAAAGAACCATACCCCTGCTTTAGGCAGTGTGAGTCGTGCATAAATCCTCTGACTATGCATATGCAATTTACAATATCTGAGAAACACTCATTGGGTACTTGGAAAGATATGTAATCAATAAACTGGTTTTGACAAGTGTGAGATGACACAGAAGCTCTAGAGGAATCCTACAGAAAGAAAGCAAGGAGTGAAAAAAAACAATACAGCATTTTAATAGAATTAGAAACCAACTGACATCAAATTCAAATGACCCTAGATATAAAGCAGAAAAAGGCCTCTTACTGACTAGATCTGCATAGTAGGAGTTAGTAAAAAATGTTCATTCTGTGAAGTACCTCATAATATGATACTGAAGTGGGAATTCTCATGGATGAAGATGCTTTTGGCGAAGATGGAAGAGGAAACAGTGGTAGTCTATCCTCACAAAGTATCTTTCTTGATATTGTGGTAAAAGGCATTTGGAAAGCCTCTTTAAAGCTGAAAGACAAGTAGACGATGGGGTCACAATGAAAATCTAAAAGAAATACAGTGAGATGGCTAGAACAATGTGAAAAGGATATATTTGCAATTTAGAAGACCTGACTTTTATTATCTTCTCTGATTAGGCTAAGCAATAAGTGGAAGCTTTTTGAAGTAAATCAATTTTTAAACAGGAGAAATCTTTTTCGTTGAAACTATTTTAAGATGGTATGAATTCAAGCTCAGCGCATCTAAACCAGTAGAGTAATAAATTGAATGAGTCATGATGCTTTAGAGTTCATATGCGCCAAGCCGCCAACCCTCTCAAGGTAATATAACTTAGAATAATTCCATGTTTCTTTTCACTATGGAATAATTTTACACAGAATGAAAACACATAGTTTTGTTTGTGATATTTTCTCAAGAATTTTATAAATTTGTTCATAATGATTTATGCACTATCATCATTAATTTGATTAATAAATGCAATGAAAGGAATGCCAACACAAACAAGGTCTTTTCTAACTAGAAGAAATAAAAGGGAAAAAAGAAATACCTTAATTCCATCAGCTGAAATTCTTTAGCCAATGTTCTCCTTAGATATTCAGTGTCGGTAAATCCCCCAAAATGAACTAATTCTCTGACTCTTTGCATTGTTTCCCTGGAGAATTTGACAAAATCATATTTAAAATGAGATTAATCTCAGGAATTCAGACAGGTTAAAAAAAACACTATTATAAATAATGTATACTTGTGTAAATGATTTATGAAACACTGCCCAGATGACATTCCATCAGTACAGGCATGTTTCTTTTGTAGTTTTTTTTTTTTTTTAATATTTGGGAAGTGGGAAGATTGATGAGTTGGGAATCATCCTTTTTATATTTCCTATCCCTTATTTATGATTAATCTTCTCAATGTCACTATTAGATACTTAGCCTAAATGTCACGAGTTAGTTCTCAATGAGCTGGTAATTGTATCAGCAGTTATTTAGTGAGAATAGTGGACAGTGTATATCAAGAATAGGAAGGAAACAATAGAGGGTAGGTATATCGATGAGGTGGCAATTGTATCAGATGTCTGTGTGTTTTGACTACACAATGGAAGAAGTTTATGGTTAATATTATGCGAGAGAGAGAGTTTAGAGAATTTAGAAAATTGTATTATTGATGAATCTTAAGGTACATATTCAAGAGATACAAACTACATATATAGACAAAACTGAAACAGCTAACTAACGTAATGATTTACACTGAAACTAACTATGGAAAACTAACTCAATACAGTTAATAAAAGTATTTATTATTCTATTCTCTAATATACCCCCCACAAGCTCAAGGGGGATGAAACATAGTAGATGAGTCAATCACATTGAACTTGGACCGTAGAAACATGAACCTCCTAGGTGACAGAGCTTTTGTCAGAACGTCTGCATATTGATGCTAAGCAAGTACATGTGAAACAATAAGAGCTTTGCTTAACACCTTCTCTCGAACAAAAAAGATGTCTAGTTCCATATGTTTGGATCTCGAGTGTAAAACAGGATTGTGAGACAAAGAAACAGAACTTTGATTGTCACAGAGCACTATAGGAGTATTGAACTTAATTTGCAGTTCCTTTAGAAGGGATTGAATCCACAATACTTCTGTAACAGCTTGAGCTAAGGCTCTATATTCAGGTTCAGTGCTTGACCTTGCAACGAGCAACTGCTTCTTGGACCACCAAGACACCAAATTAGGACCAAGATAAATACAAGCTGCTGAAGTAGATCTCCTATCATTAGGATTAGCTGCCCAATCAACATCAGTAAAGACAGTAAGGTTAAAAGAAGTAGTAGGAGTAGCAAGTGTGAACAACAGTCCATGACCAATAGTCCCTTTGAGATACCTAAGTATCCACCACTTTCCAATGCTCCTCCATTGGTGAGCACATAAATTGACTTACTTTATTAACACTAAAGGCAATCTCTGGCCATGTAATTGTGGCATATTGCAAAGCACCAACAATGGATCTGTATAAGGTTGGATCGTCAAACAATGTACCGTCCTTGGTAAGTTGTTGACCAGCAACCATAGGAGTGGATATTCCCTTACAATCCTCCATTTTTACTCTAGTAAGAAGGTCAGTAATATACTTGTCCTGAGACAATAATAGCCCCCCTTTAGAAGTAGCTTTAACTTCAATACCCAAGAAATAGTCTAAGGTACCAAGATCCTTAAGGGAAAAATTTGCATGAAGCTCATCAACTAATTTTTGCAATAATGCGGATGAAGTACCAGTAAGAATGATATCATCCACATAGACAAGCATATAGACAGTGGCTGTGGAGTTAGAGAGAATGAACAGACTAGGATCACATTTGCTTTTGTTAAACCCAAGCCTAAGTAAAACAGATGTCAATTTTTCAAACCAAGCACGAGGAGCCTGCTTTAGGCCATAAAGGGATTTTTGTAATTTGCAAACAAGATGTTTGGTGCCGGGTTCAACAAAGCCAGGGGGTTGAAACATATAGATGTCCTCAAGAATTCCATTAAGAAATACATTGTTAATGTCCAGCTGTCAAATAGGCCATTGAAAAGATAATGCTAGAGAGAGAACAGTCCTAATTGTGACTGGTTTAACAACTGGAGAGAATGTCTTAGAAAAATCAAGGTCAGGTTGTTGATGAAAGCCCTTAGCAACAAGTCTGGCTTTATATTTATTAATAGAGCCATCAGGATTTTCCTTAATTCGAAAAACCCATCTGCATCCAATAGGTTTTCTGCCATAGGGTAGTTCAACTAGTCTCCATGTATTATTGTCATGTAGAGCTTTAATTTCAGCTTTCATAGCATTAAACCAATTAGAGTCAGTGAGAGCAACCTTCACTGTTTTTGGTTCAGTACTAGAGAGCAAGAGTGTGGGATTGATTCTTGGTTGGACAATTCCATTTTTGGATCGAGTAATCATGGAATGAACATTACGTGGCCTAGCAGGAGATGAACCTGAGGAAGATGCTGTTGCAGCAGAAGATTGTTGCTGAGAAACTCGAAGCTGATAGGAAACTGGAATATCAGCAGATGTGTCAGCAGTAGATTTAAAATTGAGATTGTTAAATTCTAAAGAGTCTGAGCTGGAGGTGGCTACAGGCTGAGTTGATGTGGACAAAGGTGGACTGTGAGAACAGATTGAAGAGGGAATTGTTGACACCGAAGTTGCAGAAGTAGTGACATTTGACTTGGCAATAAAAAGATCATTGTAGTGAAATCTCATTTCATTAAAAACAACATCCTTGCTAATGTAAATTCTTCCCGACTTACTTAAACACTTATAACCTTTGTGACTAGGAGAGTATCCCAAAAATATACACTCCTCGAATCTAGGTTGAATTTTGTGTTGATTATAAGGTCTAAGTAGAGGAAAACAGGAGCAACCAAAAATCTTTAGAAACTGATAATCAGGATCTTTATGGTGAATCAGTTTGTAAGGTGATTGAAAACCAATTGAGGAAGATGGTAACCTATTGATTAGGTAAGTAGCAGTCAAGAAGGCATGATCCCAAAATTTTAATGGTACTGAGGCATGATGTAACATGGCTAGACCAAGTTCAACCACATGTCGATGCCTCCTCTCAACCATGCCATTTTGATGATGAGCATACGGACAGGTAAGTCTATGAGTGATACCTTGTTGTTGGAGGAAAGATGTCAAAGGACGAAATTCACCACCACCATCAGTTTGAACTGATTTTAGAGCATTTTGAAATTGTTTTTCTACTAGAGCTTTAAAATTCAGAAAGTGAGAGAATACGTCTAATTTCTTGTGGAGAAGATAAATCCACATATAACGTGTACATGCATCAACACATGTTAAGAAGTATGAGTAACCACAACTAGATTCTAATGATGCAGGTCCCCAAACATCAAGAAAAACAAGTTCAAGCGGTTTAGAATAAATTGTTGTTGAAGATTGAGAAGGAATTCTATGAGATTTGGCAATACAGCATGATTCACAAAAATCAGAAATTTTATTAATAGTAGGAACATGAATATTACAAGATTTTAAGGCCTTGGTTAGTGCATCATGATGAGGATGCCCTAACCGTAAGTGCCACTGTTTCTAGACACTAGGAACAGTGTTTGTACATGTTTCAGAAAGAAAAATACAAGATTTAGGTAAATTTGAAACTGAATTCTTTTTTATATCATCTTTGAGTGATGCATTCTTTGCTAAAAACGGATGAAAACGGTGGAGACCATCTTCACCAAGTTTTCCTTAAAGAAGAGTCTCGTTCAAATCCTGTAATTTGACAAAACAAGAATAAGGATAGAATACAAAGTAGACATTGTTGTCTTTAGCAAACTTGGAAACACCAATCAGATTTTTGGTTAAAGTGGGGACAAGTAAGAGATCTTTCAAAGACAAAACAGTGGAGGAATGAATAGGGGACCTAAACATATTAGAACCAACTGAAGTAATAGATGTACCTTGGCCATTGGCCATAACAATGTGCTCAGCTCCAGTAAATTGAGCACTTTGTAGTAAATGCTGTGGATCTGGAGTAGCATGGTGAGAAGCTCCTGAATCAGGAATCCATGTTGTGGCAGTATTTAAGGCTGGAACAGTACGTTGAGAGGAGGATGCAGAGCTCGAATAAGCTTGCTGATTGGAAGATGGTGTTGCTGGAAGTGTAAACCCAGGTGGTTTGAAGCCAAAACCAGGTAAAGTAGACCCAAAAGAACCACTCAACGCATGAGTAGGCCACTGTGTTGAGCCTGGGTGTCCAAAAATGTTGGCAGATCTGTGAAAAGGTAGAGCTCCAGTATTGGGAAGAAAGGATGGATTAAAACCAAAATTTTGAGACCCATAGCCGGTTTGAGATCCAAGACCAAAACCAAAATTTTGAGGCCCATAACCAGTTTGAGATCCAAAACCAAGAGCGATGTAAGGAGAAAAGGTTGGACCAAGAGGTAGTCCAAAACCACCAAATGACAACCCATTGGATCGTTGATAGCATGTTGAAGCTTCATGTCCTCTTTTATGGCATATTTGGCACTGAACAGATGAGCCACGATTTCTGCCACCACGTGTACCACCACGGCCACGTCCTCCATCGCGGTTCTGACAAGAAAAACCTCCATTATAGCCACCCTGAGATTCGAAAGAAGAGTTCTGAAACATGTTTGACTGAGAATTTGGCATTTGTGATTGCTGAAATGTCAGATTCGCATTTGGAGCTCCATTTGCAACTGAAGTGGTTTGAGCAAGGTTGATTGTCAAAGGTTCTTGAATTGTTGAAGTTTTGGCTTGTTCCAACCTCACTTCTTTAGCGAGAATCATAGTTTCAAGTTCACCAGGGGAAAGAACATTATCACGACTAACAAATGTTGTAATTGTGGAAACTAACGAGTCATATTCAGGTGGAAGGCCTCCAATAATACATTCAGCATGTTCTCTGGGTGATACAGGGCTTCCGATTGAAGCAAGAATCTCAATGATAGTGCTAATTCGGAGTAGATATTCAGAACAGGTTCTTGTACCTTTCTTGATGGGACGAGAAGCTGTGTGGCTTTGATTTTGGTGAGAGAGTGAAAATGTTGGAACACCATATCCCAAACCTGATACGAGTGGCGAAAGGAGACCAGTCGTGCTTGAATTGAGTCGAAGAGTGTAGTCAAGAGCCAGGAGAACAAGAGCGAATCCTTGCGATCCCATGTAGTGTACTCAGGATTGATGTTATTTGCATCACGATCTTCACTGGTAAGGAATTTCATCGGAATCTTCGGATTTACAACAAACCTCTCAAGGTCATGAGCACGAATTACCGCAGTCACCTGTTGCTGCCAGGTCATGAAATTTTTCTCATCAAGTTTACATGTGACACTTTGGGAGAAATTGTTTGAAACACTTGAGGACGCCGGATTGGGAGCGGAAGCCATTGGAACAATTGAAGCAGAAACAGAGAGGGATGCGCAAGAATTTTTCAAGAACTGAAAGCGAAGACAATAGGCCTGAGCACGGGTCGGGTTCGGACGGGTTCGGGTCAAAAATATTTAGCCCAATCCAAACCGACCAAAAAAAAATTAACCCATTTTCGACCGTAACAATGTTTCGGGTTTATCGGGTTCGGGTTTGTTGGGTCTTGGATTAACTGGGTCGGTTTAGTCGGATTGGGTCCTATTTTTATTTGTTATTTTTTCAAAATCTAAACAATAAAAATAGATAACAACAATGGAGGAGAGAGGGATGACGAAGTCACTGTGGTAGGGGACAACGCCGAAGTCGCCGCAGTTGGAGACGACGATTTTCTCCCGCGTGATGACAGTGATGACCGCGGTGGATCCGATAGCGTCGCAGTGAGGAGTACAAAGCTCGCAGCAGCAAGCGTAGGTGTGTTCGTTCTGGCTGCAACGATGAACCTCGTTGTCCATGCGAGCGAAACCATTCCCTTCATTTGAGCGACGTCATTCGCCGGAGCCTCGCGTTTCAGCACGCGAAGGCTTCACTCAGCGTGGGCGAGGAGGACGTGGTGGTTGGGTGTTGCAGGGGGATGATCCTGACAGGACAGGTAGCGGGAGCGGCGGCTAGGGTTTCTAGTTTGTGAGCAGAATTTGGGTCGGTCGGGTATGGATACCGACAGGTTCAAATATTTTAACCCGAACCCGACCAAGATAACCCATTATAAACCGAGTCTAACAACCCGCAAAATTGAAAAAACCGAAAATAACCACCGAACTAAGAAACTCACTTCGGAAACTTCCGGTTTCGGTCGGGGCGAGATTTTCTGCTCAGGCCTAGAAGACAAGACAAGAATTCAAGAAAACAGAGCCTCGAACCAAAAAATGGCGCAACAAAATTTGTGATCCAAGACGAGGACGAAAAACGTTGTGCAGCCAAACGCAACAGAAAAACGACGCAAACGCAACAAGATTTGCAATGCGAAATGAAGAGCGAGCGACACGATGCAACCAAATGCAGCAGAAGAGCGACACTGAATCAAGCAAGAAGAACGAATAGCGTCGTACACAAGACGCACTTGAAGACAACAAAAAATCGAAGACGAAAATCGAAGACGAAAAGGGAAAAAGCAGTTCCCAGACTTCACCTAGCTCACGATGATACCATATGAGAGAGTTTAGAGAATTTAGAAAATTGTATTATTGATGAATCTTAAGGTACATATTCAAGAGATACAAACTACATATATAGATAAAACTGAAATAGCTAACTAACGTAATGATTTACACTGAAACTAACTATGGAAAACTAACTCAATACAGTTAATAAAAGTATTTATTATTCTATTCTCTAATAAATATGATTTCATTTGTGTGAAAAAGTCACCACCAATATGATCTTCGGTGATGAAAGAAGTTATTCCTCTTCTTGAATCAACAATAATTTCTCTCTCCCTTTCCGGCATGTTACAATGTGCTTCTTTCATAATGTGCATTTGAAAACTCGAAAATGAGGCTGGAAAAGGACCAATAGGCTGAGGTGACGTGGTTGCCACAAACTGTCATTGGCAGCACATTATGGCTGCCAAATATTTCCCCGGAAAAGTGGGGCAGCAGCTGATTACGGTGGACAAGGGAGGAAACACGCTGGAAAATCGTGACACTGGCAGGTAGTGGTGACAGTCCCACTGGAAAGAAGAGACAGCAAAAGAAGTGACTAATTGGAGTTCCAAGTTTTCGGGAACTAGACAGAATAGTGACAGGACAGGTCATGGAGGATGGTACCGCTCGGATACCATGTTGAAATAGAGAAACAGAGGCATAAGGTATCAAAGAAGAATAAATCCCAATAGATCATCTAGGATAGTCTAAGGTATAAAAAAAGATATCTCAAATTTTCTAACAGGATTAATACAAATGGATGAAATGATTTTGTGAAGGTTTTGCAGAGCATACAAAGCTGTCCCTTAATATTTGAATTATGAATTTATCTTGTTTGTACATTAGTAATCATTTATGTACATTTTTCAGCTGCAAGATTCTTGGAGTTTGTCTTTGGTAATTTTGATGAATTTTGATCGCTCGGAGTGAAGCAAAAAACGGAGGTCAATAAACAGAAAATAGACTAATAGAACAAAGAGAACAACAGAAAACAGGGGGGGTGAAAACCAGTAAGTACCAAGTAGGAAAACAAATACACAGAAAACAGATATTGATGAGAAAAAGAGGTCATTGAGAACCAGATTACCGTAGAAAACTGAAGAGAAAAAGAAAACTGAGAATGAGAACAAGAGAGAAGCAATATGAACTTTGAAGGGGTTTTCTACAAGTTGAAACCCTTTTCTTCCAAAATCACAAAATTACCTCCATAAAATGCCTCTCTAATGTTTATATTGGACGTTACTCTTAGGATTTTGGACACTATCAGCATACGGTGCTAGAGTTCCACCCCCCCTATTTTGTAGCCACTTCAGTGAAGTGTAGTGCTATGACAGTGCATATTACAGCCAGGGGCCACTACACAAGTATACCGTGCTATTTGCAACCCTGCTTGATATAATTATTAAATTTACCATTTGATACATATTTGATATCCTAGAAAATATAAATGCCTAATGTGAAGTATATAAAGCTCTATAATAGCTGTAAAAGCTGCAGTAGACCCAAAACTGTAATGAAGAAAAGATGTGATTTGATGTACAGTTTAAATTGACAATAAATTTGGATTTGAAAAAAAAATATTAAAGAATTTGAAGTAGACAATAAAACTTACAAATCAATCTCAACTTCATATTCTGTTTCTGATATTTCCAGCAATTGTTTAACTGGGTCTTGTTCATAGAGAAACTTCAAGAATATAATAACAAGTTCACTGCCATAACCAAAAGTAAAATCAGACAAATAAGATCTTTATAATCATTCATAACACTAAGGAATGTTTAATTGAACCTGTTATATGGTAGAAGCTGGTCACTTGGTTCTGACATGAGTAATTTTATACACTTCAATAGCCAGTTGAAGAAGTTTGAATACTGATTGAAGAAATGTTAAAACCAAAAATTAAAAAGCATAATAGCCTTTTATAAAAATGCAATAATGCATTCATGGATATCTTTCAAACATTTTGTTCTGTTCAGACAAGTGAAATTCAAATACACATGTTCTTACATCATGCCAAAAGAAGCCAATTACAAGCTTATCATTGGGCATATACTATCCTCCTCAATATTACAATATGTTCACTAACCATAGCATAAGAAATGGTGTCATATTCAAAGTAAAAACAACTTCAGACAAAATGATATAATACATACATTTTCAACATTTTAGAGGCATGTATTCAATATTTATCCACCTAAAACTGCTTCTGACTAGATGAAAATAAGAAGGAATAAAATGTCACAGGTAGGCATGATAAAATAGCTCCCACGAGGTATTCAAATACAAGCAAAATGAAGCAATATAACATTCATTCAGACAAGATAATATATTTGGTCATGCATTCTTATTTATTTGCATTTGAATAAGGGATAGTTTATTTTCCCACTCCCCAGTTCTTTTTCAGTGAGAAAATTAATCATGTGGAGTTAAAGTGATGCTCAATGTAATAGTACATTTATGAGGATTAGATTAGTGTATCAACAATTGTCTGTACGGGTGTCTGTTCAAAATTGATTGTTAACAGTTAGAAGTTTGATCGTTAATTTAGAGATTTAAAGTTATTATATGACCAAAGAACTTCATCAAATTGTAAGAATAACATACTCATCTGAGGATGTTTTTATCAAGATATATATTACCTTAGAATTCTCAATTTAACAAAGGATTACTGTAGGGTGTTTGGGTTTCTGTTTGGCCCTAGCTCCTACAATCACATTGACGCCACAAAAAGGGGCAAAAACAAAGCCAAGAGTTACTTCAACTTTTTGAAAATCTTTTATTATTATTTTTATTTTACTGGATACCCAAATAGGCACTGCCACACCGGGAAGGTAAACTAGTTTACATGTCTTAGTTGATTTATGAATATTGTGGAATCTTTACAAAAATATACTAGTAACTGAAATTTAGGTTTTGGTGACTAACTGATATATTGATATTTGAGTTTTCCCTTTTATCCATATTCTTTCCTGAGTTTCCCTCTAAATTTTTCCTTTTAATTATTTATTAGAAACCAATTAATATACTTTGGTCATAGAACTATATACAGCAATGGATTTTAAAACTAGAACAATTATTGAACTGATGAAGACTAGTTGACAGTTCATTGCTTAAAACATGGTTCAATAAAAAATAATTAAAATTATTTTTAATATAATATTATATAGTATACTAAGTAATAAACTGACAGATTATAAAAAAAAATAAAAATAAAAAAAGTTTGGTAAAATTTTAAATAAGCATAAAAGGATTATATTACATGTCCTACGACATAAAATTCATAATAAATAGTTAAATAATAGCAAAATATGTAAACCTCATATATGAGCCATTATTTATTTAAAAAAAATGTTTTTGAATAAAAAAACATTTTTAAAAAACACCAATTTGAACTGATTTTCGCCACCAGTTTTCAAGTGATTTGTTTCTTTCTCCATTGGTTTTCTGGATTGACAAGACTGGTTCCCCGTCATTCTGGTTGTCCAGTTTTGAAAACTTTGATATACAGAATTTGCATTATTATGGTAGCTCTAATGAAAGCACATAGTTGATAACAATTTAAAATCTGTGAGTATTAAAACATATAAATATTGAGCAACAGATAATACATTGAAAAAATAAAGCTAAATTCTGTAAGATTCATTTCAAACTTAAAAAGGCATACCTGCTGCACAACAGATGAAAGAATCCTCATAAATCGTTCAACTTGTACAAGTAGCATACCAGCCTTTTCTGTTGCATTGTTAATAAGTGACTCATTCAAGCCAATGCCGTGATAGCGTGCACGCCATCTTGAAAGCCCTCGTAGTTCCCCTATTCTGAATCCTATAACTTCTACAGCAGGCTGACAAAAACATTAAAACTTTCAATGTGAGAGCTTTTAGTGATGTTTGTACAAATACTGATTAAATTCAAAAGCAAAGGTAGTTTCTGAAGACTATGACAGGGTGCAACAAGAAGCTATTTGACATGAACATTTTTAAAATCTGTTTTCAACAGTAACACATTTCTCCTGATTAGTAAATATTGTTGTGCATGGTTGAGTACTATGTTGTACCTGGAGGTGGTCCAATACAATACGTTGAAGTTCTTTGCCTGCACCAGAGAGAACCTTTGAAATACGCTTGACTCCCTGTAATGCAACAAAGTTGCTGAATGAAAACTACATTCATAAAGAAAGGGAATACAACTAGATAAGGTTGTCTGTATACCACTTCTCCAAGAGTGTTAACAAGAAATTGATGAATTGGTGGGCTAGTCCTTGCACCACCCAAAAGGCTCAAAAACTCCTCTTGAGGTGAGGAATCAAGTCCTAGTTATCACAGACACAGACAGAAACAAATTAATTAAAGTAATAACAAAAAAAAATTCCATAACTGTTATTCAGTTACCATGATTTATAATCAGTGAAGACAAAGAGCTGAACTTCTCCTGAAATGTGTTCATGGCATCAGACCACTGCCTACACATAACTGATAATGATGTCCGAACAACCTCAATCAAATCCTCAATGTTAGAAGCTTGTTGAGCTACCTGGTGAAGCTCATTTTTCCTACACAAAAGTAGAAGGAACCAAATTGCAGAAATAAGAGGCAAACACAATGACCACATCAGTTTCATTTGCATTGGTCAGGAAGACACGAGGTTTTACATGTTACAAAGAAAAAGAATGTAACAGTAGAACATCCCATTTCTCAAAGAATGTTTACCTATTCCAAAATATAGCTGTGTTCAGTGCTAAGGAATGCAGGCCATGCTCATTCCCAGCCATGTGAGATTCTCCCAAGTCATCACCAACTTCAACAAGGTCTCCTGAGCACATGACTATCAAATGACAAAGATCTTTTGATAAAGCAACCTAGTGACATGTAACAATATCAGCTTCCACAGGTAAATTGCAAGGGTAGAAATGTAATATAAAACATTTTTTGGCCTTTATTAGCTTAAACTTTTGGGAGAGTTGTTTTATGTATGATATTAGAGCCTATATGGAAGTGTTCTAGAATTTGATGCTATCCACCCTTGTACTTCTGATGAAAAACTCAGTTTCAACACAAGATATACAGGCTTATGCATTATCCAGGATCCACAATTTGAGCACAAAAAGTTCTTGCATTATGGGGAGAATATAGAATGTAACAACACCTAAAGCATATAAGCCTTTTTGAGGATTTAGTTCATGGAAGGTACTATTAACTTGTGCAAAATGTAGGTTTGATATTTTTTTCTTTATTGATTCATTCATCCATCATATTCGGGTATATCAACAAGATTTACACTGGCTTCCAAGGGCCTACCACAACCCTCCTTTACCTGGGCTTAGGACCGGACCGGCTATGAAATCACAGGCGATGTTTAAGCAAATTTAGCAAGAGACAAGAAGAATATGAGTTGGTAGTAGAGACAGAAGATGTCAGACCACAAGTTTCTAAGTTTAAATATCTTCGATCAATAACACAAAATGATGGGAAAATTAATGAAGATGCCCAACAGAATACAAACAGGATGGCTAAAATGGAGAAAGGTATTCGGGATTATTTGAGATAACAAAGTAGCTACTAATATCAAAAGCAAGTTATCTCATACAGCTATATGTCCAACTATACTTTATGATAGTGAATGTTGGGCTTTCAAGGGACAAAACGAGAGAAAGATGAGAGAAGCAGAAATAAAAATGTTAAGATAGATGTGTGGTTACACAATAAAGGATGGGATACAAAATCATTGTATACCAAAAGATATTGGTGTAGCACCAACTGAGGAAAAGATGATAGAAAATTAAGGTAGTTTTGACACATATAAAGAAGGTCATTAGAAGCACCAATAAGAATTAGATTGCATGGCTTTTAGTCTTGTGAAAAAGGAGAGAGGGAGATAAAGGACCTTAGAGAAATTGTTAAGAGGGATCACATAATAAAAAATACATCTAAAAAAGCTAGTCTTTAACCAAGCTGAATGGCATCATGTATCCAATTACCTAGCAGGAAAAAGTTTTTATTGTTGTTTGATTCATTCTTGCGTCAACATGCAAACTCACTGTCACTACCTACCTACTTGTCTAAAGATTGAGTGAGTAGAATTAGATCCACTGATTCATTAATTATTAATGGCAGAATTTCAAATAGATAGTTTATCATCCTCAATGTAGATCTTCTGCTGCTTTAATTGCATTTTAATTTGCTCCTATCATATTTCCAAAATTTAAAATACTCATCCACATGTTAATAAATCAACTAGTTAATTTAAAGCATCGAACTATAGTTTATGGTTTTCCTGATTCTGTCCCTAACTAAAGGAAAGTGGGTCTGCAAATGAAGCTCAGTGATCAAAATAAAAGGAGGATCTACCTTGTGTATATAAGCATTTAAAACTCTGTTAGTTGTTTTTGCACCATCAAGGGAAGTAGGAATTGTGAGGTTGTGTATGTTCTGAAACACCAATAAACATCAGAAGTTTTAACAATAATCAAACAAAGAAACTAAGAAGCAAATAAAAAATAAATGGGGAAAAAAAAACAGACAGGGTTAACTTGATATTAATGCATAGTATTAATTATTTTACAAGTATGTGTCTGTGAATATTTTAGGGAAATGATAATTTTACAATAAATTTTACAACTAAGAGAGAGAAAGAGAGAAGATTGAAATGTAATAAATGATAGGATGCAGAGAGATACACAAAAAATGATGTTGCATAAATTGTTGCATAAAAATTGTTGCATGAATTGTTGTATGTGTATCATCACTCAATATTTTATTGGTTTTCTCTGAAAAATACCAAAAATACATAATGCATGATATCTTCCAATATGTTATTCAGAAAATCTTTATAGTTAATTAAGTAGTAACTAATACTATACACCAAGTAAACAATATAGCTGTCTATTCATGGTCATAGTTTTTAATAAGTCAGTCATGTGTCACAATTATTAAAATATAATTAATAAAATATGTTTTCTTGTCCCTCCCCTTCTTCTCCAGTCCAATCTGACAATCCCTAAAATCTCACCATTGTCATAAATTTCTCACAGAGAAAACTTATGTTAAGCTCACTAACCAATAAGGAAAACATATAAGCAGGAAGGGTATATTACAAGATTTACGTTTACATGAATCAACAGCACCATAATAGAAACCAAAAAGAGATCAATAGTAGTTATTTTAGTTAGCCCAGCTAATCAAATATTAATTATGGCTGGAAACCAAACCACAATAAAATTAAGCATTCTGATCTTCACATACAGTCATGTAGGTCTCCAGAGACTAATTTTTAAAACAAAAATCGAACTCCTTGGAAAGTAACATATTAAATACACAAGCCCAAAAGGTTAGGATGGTATTCTTCATCACACCACAGCATTTTGTATAATTATTAATGAAAAATGCCAACTTCTGTGACAGACAATGACTTACAATTTTCCCTATAGGGAAGATGCCAAATATGCTAAAACAAATGTTTCCATCTTTATCTGCACTGCAGAGGATGTTGAATCGTTGCTGAGAAGAATTCGACAGATCCTGAAATGAATCTTCACTATCATCCATGAAGCCATTATCCCCAGATACCAATCCAGGCATCCGAGGAACTCTTGGAGCAGGAGGAAAGAAACGAGAGGTTCTATCTTCATACTTGGAAGTGTGACCATACTCATCCTAAAGGAAAATTTAGGGGAGAAAGATTAAAATAGAATAGAATATAAAATTAAAGCGGATGCACTGTGTAGCCAAGACAAATTCATTCACAGGTCCTCTCATTTTTCCTCCCTTTCAACACCATCAATATAAGAAGCATTGATGTGGAATGGTACTTATGTATACTTTCTGCTCAACATATAATGTGTTAGTGTTTTAGTCTGGAACAAACTTCTAATAATCAAGCAGAAATATGAGAAACAATAACCAAAAGAATGCAATTGGTGTTTATTGTTTTGACATTGTTTACCTCTTGCTTTTTTTTTATTTAATTTCGCCTTATGTATTACATATTCTTCCAATCCTTAAATCTAACACCAGCTTAATCATAACCACATACTATTAGTAACCAATAAGCAAGAATCAGAAGAAACCATAAGAAAATGATAGGAAGGAAAGAAAATACAGAAAGAGCATGGGAGAATTGTATTCTCTGAAAATATTTTGTACCTGAAAAACTGAACTGAATCTAACGTCTAAGGTTCTGGTACACACAGCTAGTAGATGAACTAACTTCCTTAGTAATTATGCCAGCCTGGTTAACTGACTAACAGAACCTTCTAGTTACACAAGTGCTGTTCTAATATAATATTAACTTAATAGTTAACACAAACACACCAGCAATCATCTTAAAAAAATGATACCGGAACAGAATATTTTATCAGGACTATACCATGTATGGTGTGTGATAGCTGAGCATTTTTGTTCCGCATATATATTACTACATTCATGAATCATGACCACATCTATTAGCCGGTGAGAGGATGTATTTTCCATTTAGAGCATGGAAGAATTGAACCTATAAATTAGAAAATGTTATCCATAGTTTAACAAATGGCTAAACATCATATATCACAGGGATTATGCTAGCTAAAGGTACACATAAAACCATATTTTAGTAGATAGCAATCATCTTCAAGACACTCCACTGAATCAAAATTTATCAATCAAACTAAATATCAAGAGCAGGCAACAGACAGGAAGAAGCATACTGTAATTAGCTGACTGTCCTCCTCCCAGTTGAGACATATAATGGCAGCGCAATGTGATTTTAAGCTTCTTAGCAGCTTTCCGTTCTGCCTTACAGAAAATATTAAGAATTAGTTATGACGCAAAATAATAAAAGAAAAATACACCATAAACTGTATCTACACAGAGAGATAAAGCACCATTGAAAAAAAAAAAATCACCAAGAGCTTATTTGTTTTATCTTCAAAATCCTCTCACCATTCACACATTCCAACACAAAATATTTGGCCTAGGTCAATGGTTTAAATCCTGGATAGCAGCCCACAGCGGCCGGCTCCAAAAATGCTACAACAAGATAGCCACTATTTTGAAACTTTTTATATAGTTTATATAAATTCTCAAAAATGATAAAAAAAAATACTCAAAATTAATGACATTCATAATTAACAATAAAAAGTCATAGTTCATAGGTGTCTTAAACAAAACATGAAAGTAAATATCAACAAAGTCAAATATAATTATCCTAGATAGGAATCATCAATCACCATCTTCTAAATCTGAGACTTCTTTGTTATTTTTACTACTATTATAGCTGTAGATTTCATTTTTGGAAATTGAAATCCCAAAAAATTCCCCACAAAAAGCCCTAATATCTCTATTCAAAGGGAATTTTTTTTTAATAAACACTTAGCGCCACTATATGGTCTGATATGGCTGCAACATTAAACCACTCCGCCGCTATAGCACGCTATTTAAAACCCTAGCTAAGATTGATTTGGACATATATCCCCAATTATATTCAACGGTTCAAAATCAATTCTACCAAAATCAACTCTACCCAACTTTAAAACATACAAACACTTTATCTACCAGGTAAACATGGTTCTAAGATTTTATCACATCTTCCGAGGAAAACCAACAAAAATGCTGACAATTACTGGCTTTTTACTGATATCCTTTTTCAAATAGAAGAATATCCCATTGCTTATTTATTAGACTAGAAAATTTAAAAAATATTATTAACAAAGAAATCTCAAACAAGTATAAACCTTGATCCACAATTATGGCCCGTATAGATAGCCAACAATAGGCTCAATGTTACATGAATTATATGCGAGACTAAACATTTAAGACGCTTGTTTAAAATCCGGTATGCCTCCGAATAAATACTCGGTCTAGGAAATGTTGGAAGCTCCAACCATTCATTTTTTTCCTTTATATTTCTCACGGTACCATACCATATGCAATAAAACATTCATGAACATATAGCTAATTAGAAGAATAGGAAAAATCCAATCAAGAACAACTGACTAAAAGGATCAGTTCCCAACAAAGAAAAGCACTACCCACTTCAACATCATGCAGTGACAACGTCCCATCATCAAGCCCCACAGCAATTGCTTTTCCATCCGGACGCCAACACAAAGATGTTATGCATTTTCCTACAAGAAAAGGAAACATCCAATTAACACCAGAGCACCACTATTGTAGCAACATTTAATACACAACCATGACTTCAAAATCCAAACCAGAAACCATAACAACACGTGGCTTACTGTTTCAAGCCATTTCCAAATTTTGACCGCTTCACACATTATTAAAAATACCACATATTCAATTTCAAGTAGAACCAATTTTCACCATGAATTCAAAAATAAATAAGTCGAATATAACAAGGGAAAGAAAAAGATACCTGGCGTTATGGTCCACAAGCGTTGCCAATTGAAACGATGGAGCATGATCTTAGAGTCGTCAGTAACCATGGCGAGCAAGTCCTTCTCGGGATTCCACTCGGCAATTTTGACCTACGATTCCGAATCCATTCATAAAATGAAACGAACTTTAAAAACTACTAGTATATAATCCAACAGCAACTAGGATGGGAAAGTGAAAGTGACGAAACCTGAGAAGCGAGGGGCTTATCGAATTGTAGTTGAAAGGGAAGCATGCGAGAGGATTCGTCGGTTTCCATGTCAAACGGAAACACTGAACTTGGCAGAAAGTTGAAAATGCAGTGAGATTCAGGAATTTTGATGCAAGTAAAGAGCGAATGGCGCGTGAGTGAAGCAAAACCCTAAGCAGTGAAGTGAGGTGTGAGAGGGTCAAGAAATGGGAGATTATATTATGAGAATGGCGCTCATCAGAGGGAGCCTGGTGGCAGTTTTATTTATATGAACTTTGTGTTACGTTTGAACGAGTGACAAGGAGGGAGGGAAGGAAATGAAATGTGAAAAACTGAAAACTTGTTTGTGTTACGTTTGATTTGAACGAGTGCTACCAAGGACAGAAATAAATTTTGTAATTTTTCCTTTTAAGACAAATTTATGTAAAATGGATGCGGAATTTTCAAATAATGTTATAAATACCAAATTGTTTAATATTATTTTATTTAAAAATATGTCTTGTTTTAAATTATTTCATTTGTTTTGGACCAATATCTTAGCCCAATATTGACCCGATAAACTTTGAGATTCTAGCCCAAAATAAAACAACTCAGGAGTGAATAAATCGTTTTGCATTTGGTAGCAGAGAGAGATGGCGAGGAATTGAGAGAATGCAAATGGAAGGGCAAAAAATCCAATGAAGCTTTTCCGTTTGGTAGCACATAATGAAAAAGTAAGATTCAAAAAATATGGGTCCTAAGCATGTTTGAGAATAATTGATAATCGGATTATTCTATCACACAATATTCTAAAGTGATATGTTTAATAATAATTGGATGTATGAATGGATCGAATTATTTTCCCTATAATGCAATTGTTAAATTGACATCCTAATCTTAAATTATAATTCCTGCTCGATTTCAAGAATATAATATGATTATTGATAGAAAAATATTTTAGTGTTAATAATCAAATGTGTTTGATATTTAAAACTATGATTCAAGATTAAACTCTTAATAAAAAAAATAAAGATTTTTATTATACGGTGAATAATTTGTTAGGATTAGAATATAAGTTTTATTTTTATTCATTTTATCCCTAATAATTTATTAATTTAAACACAGCCTATTATTATAAATAATTTCTTAACCTCTTTTTAATTTATTTTAAAAGATAATTACTTTAGACAAAACAAAATAGATCATCTTTACCCAATAATTATAGGAGTGTCATTCTTTTATCTACTATTTAAAAAAAATAGTTTATTTTAAAACGATTTTTACCTAATTTACTCAAATATAAAGAAAACTTATTTTACATAATTGATTATGACAATAATCGACTACATTTATAATCTATTATTAAAATCATCTCTAAAAGAATTCCAATTCAAGTACACACTAATGGTATATATATTTAGTTTTCCTTTCATTAGGTTCAGATCTTTAGTTTTATTCGAAGTGTCCAAAATATCACAAAGGCTATATATATTTAGTGTTTTTAATTAGATTTTTGAAAATGTCAAATCGAATCAAATTAATCAATTTTATAATAATCAATTTATTTTTTTTATAAGGTGAAACGATTTAATTTTTAAAAAATATAGATAAAATTATTTAAAACTAAATCGGTTCAGTGCAATATAATTATCTAATTCTCACTCATATATAAATCAATTTTTAAAAAAAATTCAATTCACTTTATAAAAAATAATCAAATAACCAAAATAATTTTATAAAGTGGATTAATTTTATTTTTTTTAACTAAATCAAACCTTTTAATATATATTAGACTAGTTATGAATCAATTTGGATTTGTTTTGATTTTTTGTACATCCAATTCATCGATAACCAAAACAACTTAAGTAAAGACCACCATCAAATCACAACTATTGCAAAGTTGCATGTTCCGATTAAGGATGATGACGAAGTTGAGTGGCCACGGGTAGTAATCCCTATCATCTACTTGAATAAAATTTGTGTCATATCTAATTTATACTTGTATGAATATTTGTGAAGTGTATTTGTGAATTTTATAATTGTTCACTAGTGTTAATGATATATCGATATTTGTTAAAATATAAAATCTAAAAAATAAAAGTAGACAATTTTAAAACATATATATATATATATATATATATATTAAAAAAATAATATAAATAGACATTAGTCATCTTAAACAAACTCTAAGTTCAAATCTAATTTTATAGAGATAATGTTGTTAGGAGGGGAGATCTCATTAGAGGTGACTAACTAGATTCCTTAATAGAGATTAATCACCTATGAAACTAGTAGATACTTTAATACTAATATATGATATTAGAATAAAATATATAATTCAACTTGTGATACTAATTCTTAAAAATGCTTTTATTTAAGTATAAAATCTCAAAAATATTACATTGAAAATAACTAATAAAAGTGTTTTTATTTATGATGAATATCTAGATGTATAATACAGAAATTGATAAATTATTTACAATAAGAAACTTAATTGCATTTTTATTCTATAAATATTGTAGTTGTGTGATTTTAGTTTCTAAAGTCTTAATTGACAATTTTTATCACTCAAATATCACAATCGTACGATTATGATCTTTTTCAATAAAAACATAATAATTTTAAGATTATACATATAATATATTAAAATTATATAATTATTGACCTATTTAAATTACATATATAACAATTTTCATTCATGTATCAAATGACATATACATATAAAGATAATAAATATAATTTTCATTCATGAATGAACAAATATATAATTATCTCAATCTATCATCATCAATTATGCTATTACCAAAAAAATATTACTGGCCATGAGAAACTAAAAAATATTTTTTAAAATTATAAGGACTAAAATGATAAATCTTAAATTTGAGAGATTAAAATATTAAATTTTATATTTTAGGGACTGAAATAAATATGTATAGAGTCAAACAATATTTTTTTAAAATATTACAAGGACAAAAACCACAAATTTTAAATTGGATAAAAAAATAAGTATCCCAAATTTAGAGGACTAAAAATATAATTAATTCTATTAAATAATATATTATCTTTTAAATGATATATTGTATTTGTGAATAAAAACATTAGATGAGAATTAACTATTAGTGTTATATTAATGAAATACTTCTTATTATTAATTTATATAATTAATAATTTAATTTAATTGATTAAAAAAATTGCTTTTATATTATAATTTAATAAAAATTAAATTTCATTAATTTCAAAACTAAATTTAAAATTGTTATTGATTCATGATGGAATAATTCTTTCATCAAATTAAAATTCATTTTCTCTAAATTTTATGAAGAATTTTGCAAAGGGAAGAATTCTCTCGCTAATTAGCGAGGAAGTTGCGAGAAAAAATTTCTCTCACTAAATTTAATTTTTCATTTTATGATTTTATAAATATTTTGCAAGAAATTTGCAAGAACATTATTTCCTCGCTAAATAATTAATCATTTTTGTGAAGGATTCACTACAAAATAATAAAATGGTCGCTAATTTATCACTAATTAGCGAGAGATCTGTGACAAATGTTTTCCTTCGCGAATTAGGAACAAATTAGTGACAAAATTTTTTTCTATCTAATTAGTGAGGAATTTGCAAACAACTTTTTCCTTTGCTAAACTCCATCGCTAATCTGCAATTTTTTTTGTATTGTTTAAGCACAAAAATTGCACATTATCATTTTATATATCTCAAGATAGAATCATTATAAAGTCATCTAATCATATGCTAATATATCAATTATAGTCACTAAGAGATCAACCTTACTAAGTATTTAAATCAATAGCTTAACTAGTCTAGCAACCTTATAAATATCACACATCAAGTCCTTAGACATCACTATGACTAAAATATCTCAAGTCATTAACAATCAACTTACATAATAACTTATTAACTATTCACTACAAGAAAAACGTAAATTTTTTATGGTCATAATCTGTCGGTAAAAAGGAATATTCATTGGAAAGAGAGAATTTTTTACAGATGCAAATCCGTAGGAAAAAGGGGTATCAGAAAAAAAAATTTGTTGGAAACAATTTAATCTATCAAAAATTCCCAACGAATGTTTCTATGGTAAATATCCATCGGTAATTATTAACAGATATATCTGTCAAAAATTACTGACAAATATTCTGTCAAAAATTTCGTTGGTATTGTTTGAAAATCTTTGTGTGCTTCTGACAGATAAATCTATCAGAAATTTTTTGTTTAATTTTAATAAACTTATTAATATAACACCCCTTATATTTGACCTCTCAAGTGTTCCATTTCACAACACTTTATTTTTCATCGGAAATATAAATTTTCCAACAGATTTATATCCGGCGGTAATATAACTTTTCTTACAAAAATTTTTTCGTCGAAAATATAAATTTTTTAACAAATTTGTATCTGTAGGTAATTTGCATTTTTCTTATAGTGATTATTTTATATCATGATTTCTTCTTCCTAAATATTGATACTCGTACTTGTAAGATCAAACGCTAAAGGGGTAAAATTATTCATCATCAACATTTACAAACTACATTTTCATAACTTAATCCTTCTAAAACATTGTGTAGCCCCACCTTATTTACGGATAAATATACACACACACATATATATATATATATATATATATATATATATATATATATATATATATATATATATAATGCTCT